GAAGTGAATATTGATTTTTTTTCACTTTTTACAAATATGAAATCTTATATTTCATCAGTCAACCATCTGAACTGAAAACATTTGAATAAAATCTAAAATTGTCACAAGAGAAGACTAATTGTCACTACCAGGAACCTCACTATATTTCTTTAAGGATTTTTTCACTCCTCCTCTTGTGTGTCCTCTACCTTTCTGCAGTCTACCGGACCTTTACCAGTTTTTGATAATCTCCCCTGCCCTCTTCCATATCTCAACAGTAGTACTGACAATTTAACTATTCCATATATCCTTTGGAGTAGTGTTTCTGAAAGTTAGCTTTCATGGGAATCACTTGGTAATATATTTAAATTAGAAATTACTAAGCTCTTCCTTCAAAGATTTCTGTTACATAAGTCTGTTGTATGGTCCCACTAACCTGCAATTTTAACAGGTAACCTAAGTGATTCTGAGCATGATGTTATAAGGCAATGTTTTAATGAACACCTTTTTACTTATTAGAGTATGATCACTTTTTATGAGAATATTGTATTTGTTTTACCAACTTCTGACCTAGATAGTCAGTTGAGTACTGTTAAGCATATATGAGAAAAAGACCACCTGAAAGAATTAGAGGTAAGAGTGTGTGGTTCTCACAAAGTACTGTTTCCCACTAGTTATTCCAAAAAACTTTAAAATTCACAGAGCACTGGGAGGAGTACATCAAAAGACCTTGCCTCAACAGTGGATAATAATTACCCCTAGATTGAGCACTGCTCCAGCCCCATCTAACAATTCTTAAAAGCAAGACCTGAAAATATCAAACTGTTTTAGGTAATATATCTGCATCCCAGAGCAAAACTCAAGAAAATTTATAATACAAAAATATACAATATTCAACAAGGTAAAATTCCCCATGCTTGACATCCAATCAAAAAGCGCTAGTAATGCAAAGTGGAAAAATATGACCCATCCTTAGAAGAAAAACCAATTGCTCAAAATAAATTCAGAACTAACACAGATATTAGAATTATCAGGGAAGGGCATTAATATAGTAATTATAACTATATTCCATATGCCCCGTAAATTAAGTGGAGACAGGTAAGATATTAAAAACATTCAAAATTCTAAAATAAAAAAAAATTAAAAGAATTAAAAAAACCTTCTACAACACAAAACCACAATTATGATATTTAAAAATACATTGGATAGCATTAACGGCAGACTGGAAATTTAGAATATATTAATTATCTTGAAGATATAAGCAATAGAAACTAACAAAGTGAACTATAGAGAAGAAATCAAAGAACATTTTTAAAAAAGTGAATAGGGCATTGGTAATTTGTGGACAGTTTCAAGAGACCTAAAACACATGTAATTGTAATCTCTGAGAGGAAAAAGAAGAGGGATTAGGAAAAAAAAAAAAAGCTGAAGAAAGATTGGCTTAAAACATTTTCAATCTGATTTTTAAAGTAACTATCCAAAAATTTAATAAGCCCAAGCACAAGAAGTGTGAAAGAAAACCCCAAGGCATATGATAATCAAATTGCTTATGTAGTGATTTTTTTTAAGTAGCCACAGAAAAGACATAGTATATACAAATGAACATACATGAGCATGACAACAGATTTCTCATCATAAATAATTCAAGCAAAAACACAATGGAGTAATCTCTTAAAATACTAAAAGAAAAATCAAATACATTCTTCCAATTACCTTCAAAAATTACTTTAAGAAATTCAGGTACACAAAATATCTGACATATATAATAAATTCTGAAAATGAAAAGCTTAGGATGAAAGACAACTTACCGAGCCTCTGATAAAATTACATTGTAAGTAGTTAGGTAGTACGTATGCATTATTATTTTTACAGATGAAAAGTAGTTTACATACAATTTTATATAAACTGCATAATCCATTACACAAACAGAACTGCTTATTTTCAAATGACAAAATGTTCTATCCAACTTAATTAAAAACTTCTCCTGGATTCGGACATGCCCCTTTGCAAAATTGGCCACTATTCTAATTCTCAGTCACCAATTAAAATCAGCACAGCAAAATTACTGAAGACTGCATGCTGGAAAAAAAAAAACTAACAATGGGATGGCCATATCTGTTTTAAGTACAAACTAACTTGACTTTTCACTACCAGCTTTCTTTAAATTATGCCAGGCAAGGTGGTGCATGCCTATAATCCTTAGTGGTTTGAGTGGTGGAGACAAGCAAGTTCAAGGTCAGTCTTAGCAATTTGGCAAGGTCCTAAACAACTTAGTGAGACCCTGTCTAAAGATTCTTAAAAAATTTTAAACAGTTGGGGATACTGTAGCTCAATGGCAAATTGCCCATGGGTTAATTCCTAGTACCAAAAAAAAAAAAAAAAATTATGTTGATCTTGTTCTAAAATTTTTAAGAGTTAAGATTTAAGCATATGTAAATGCTCCCCACATAACTAAATATTTTTGTTATATGTAAAATATTGTGTAAAGTAAATGTAAAAGATATTATGCCAGGATGTTTTAGTTTTTACTTTTGCCATTTAATTCAGTATGCAGTTTTCTCAGATCCTTTCACTGTCTTCTATAGCTACTCATCCATTCTCTACTCTCCCCTTTCTCCCATCACCCCATAACTCCTCCATCCTATAAACTTACCCCAAAAGACTTACCATTACTTTATCACACATAAGATATTAGTGTGGGATGGGAATATGGCTAAGAGATAGGATATGACTCTTCCCTTAAAGCAGAACATAATTGATCAGGCCAAGTCAACATGTCTCCCTGAGGAGGCTGACACCTTGAGGTCAGCTCATCCAATGACGGGTAATGACCATATGTAGTACTGGACAACCTAAGACAGGCATGGTTCCTAAGCCACATGCTTGTTATTTAATTAAACAGAAGGGGGGAGATGTTGAGAGCCACAGTTTAGTCAGAATGACGCCTGGCATTTTTGCCAAAGGGAATGGTTGAAAGGTGACCCTGCTCCAGGATTAGGGCAGCTCCGGGATTAGGGCGGATCCTGCTGCCTCGGGCACCCACTACTTTGGATTTCCCATTGAGTTCTCGTGGGGTTCTGAGAGAATTGGCGCGCGGAGTCTGGTGGAGGGAGTGTGTTCCCGGGAAGTGTGTGTAGAGTGCCAGTGAGAGTTCGGGAATAAACAGTTGCTGTTTGAACCTACAAGGCTGTGTGGCGGCTCAGTTATTTGTGCCCAGCCAGACTGCGGCATTTGGTAGCCCATGCGGGGAACGCCTGAAGCTTGGAGGTAAGTGAAATTGCTCGCCCATGAAGGAGAGCGAAAGAATGGGTGACCATTTCAAAAAACAATGTGTTCTTGTTTTGATTTATTTTGTTTTTATTTCAAGCTGCCTGTCCCTAGAACTTTCTCAGGCAAACTGGGGAAAATGGTTGGCTCAAGGTTTGAAGTTGTTCGCCCCTGAGGAACAGATAGAGATAGACCACAAATGCACATGTCAAGAAAATAGAAAAACTGATACAACGATTTTTTGTTCCATTTTTGTTTCATTCTGTTTCGGTTGTTTTGTGTTATTTTGTTGGGTTTCGTTATCTTTATAATAGATCAGAAATTAGTAAAAAAACAAACCGAAAGAGTGTTAAGTAAATTGTTAGAGGTCCAGACTATGGTAGATCAAGTAAAAGAGAAGGTCTCTCGAGTTAGTCAGACTGAAGTAGAAAATTTAAAGGAAAAGGGGCTATCAGAAAAAAAGTTACAACAGGAGGCTGCTACTAACACCTTTCTATCACCAGAGGGCTACCAACCAACAGCTCCACCTATAGAGACAACATATGCTGTGGGGCCCCCAACCCCCGTAGTTGATAGATGGGATCCTGAGACAAGACCTCAAAGATTAGCATGCTCTGTATTTGAGCAGACAGGAGGGCAGTGAATTCACCGTACTTTAGATTTCAAAACAGTGAAGCAGCTAAAAGAGGCTGCAACAACCTATGGTCCCTAAGCACCCTTCACTGTAAGCATGGTCGAATCCATTACCAACTTGGACATGACGCCAGCAGATTGGGCTAGCATGTGTAAAGCTGTGCTAAATGGAGGGCAATATTTGTTATGGAAGGGTTGCCAATCAGGAATTTTTCACGGAGACAGCTAGGCGAAATGCAGCAGCAGGTTATCCTCAGAGAAATCTAGGTATGTTGTTAGGACAGGGACCTTATGAGGGTCAGCGGCAATGAATTGAATATGATCCTGCTATATATTCACAAATTGCTGCAGATGCGGTTAGGGCATGGAAGACTTTACAAGGACATGGAGATTTATAAGGACAATTATCTAAGGTTATACAAGGAGCTAATGAACCTTACGCTGAATTTGTAGATAGGCTTATTCAAACAGCTACCAGAGTTTTTGGGGATACAGAACAAGCAATGCCATTAATTAAACAGCTAGCCTTTGAGCAAGCAAATCGTTGGTGCAAGGAAGCCATTACACCATGGAAACATGAAGATTTAAACACATATATTAAATTATGTAGAGACATTAATAAACAAGGGCAAGTCTTGGCAGCTGCAGTACAACAGGCTTTAGATGCCAGGCATCATTCTGACTAAACTGTGGTTCTCAACATCTCCAGCTAGCTGAGAGAGAAATGTAAGACAGACATGATCCACTACAGCAGGAAATAAAATTCATCCTGGCAAGAGCTGGGAGGATCTATCTACAGGAAGATGTGGAAATCTCATATCAAATCTCATATTATAATCGATAAACATGTCTGCTATTGTCCCAATTATACAAATAGAACAGAACAAAACTTAATTAGATAACAAGTAAATTCTCAAAGTCAACCAAATAAAAGGGTTGAAAAATTAAAAATAGATTATTTTACCTTAAAATTTTGTCTTGCTGCATCATATAAATCAGAAGAGTGTGAAACTGTTTACCTATGGTAATATTTGCATAGCTAAGGAAAGGAAATAAGTAATGGTGACTTCAGGGTTCAGAAAGTTTATTAAATTTTAAAAGATGATATGAAAACATTAAAAATATCTTACCCATATCCGGTTCCTTTCTTTCCTGGGTTTGTGTATAAATTCTTTCCAGGTGGCATATATTGTTCCCTGGGTTTGGCCTGTGCACTGAAGGATGGGACTGGACCACCTATTGTTCCATAGTAGCTTCCTAGTCCATATCTTAAATAGTTATTTTTTAAAAGGAAGAGGTTAAAATGGCTAACTTAATGTTACATATTTTCATATAACTTTTTTAAAGATTGAAAAAGGAGAAAAATATGTGCTTGAGTAACTCCAGTGAGAAAAAAAAAATCAAGCTTTTTAGTATTTAACTTGATTTTCCTCATTTTCAAGGTTATAAATTCCAAGATATGTTTTTAACATTTTTATATTTATTTCAAATGTTCCATGTAAATACAATTTCACAATCTTTAGTAAGTTAGAATAATCCCCATCCATTCAGAAATTACACAAATCTCTAGGCACCTTAAAGCAAGTTAGCTAACAAATGGTGAATGTCTTTTGATCATCCACTCCTTAAAACATACACTTTCAAAACTACATATTTGAAAATATGTTTCACTGCTGATGGTAAAGTGAATCTTATGGAATTTTGGTGTTAATTTTTTTTTTCTTTTTGGTTTACACTTATTAGTGTAGGAAAAAAATTAACCAATCTTTTCTTCAATTTTAATGTTAGACTTTTCTAGGGACACAATATCTAATCCAGCTATTTATTGCTCAGCCCTTTATTATTTTCACAAATGTTTTCTTTAAATTTTGCACAATCAAAACAATAACTACTGCTAATCAGTTATCATTGAAGTAAACAAGTTGTAATCATCAGAAAATGGAACATTGTTATAAGAAGATGACACTATGCATTCATGTTTAAATTTTAAAAATCAGAAAGACATAAACATTGATTACTCATTATCTCCAGCCTACAAATAAAGGTTCCAATTAAGAGAGATTACTTATTTTCATTAACCCTTCCTTATGAACATATATCATACATTCTAAAATACAATAAGGAAGTAGAGCAGTGATATTGCAGAGAAAAGGACAATTATGGAAAAGCATAATTTAATTAGAATGTGATGTAATGCCAACAATGTAAATCACTACATTTAGAATATATTAAATGCCTATGATCAGGAGGAGAGTGGATAGAGGGAGGCTGGATTTGATTCATACATGATGTATACATGTGTTGCAATATCATGCTGAACCAAATTAATATGTATAATTAACACATGCTAATCAAAAATAAAATATTTTAAAGTCCAGCAGAGAGATTAATAAAATAATCATGAAGATAAAAAATATGCCTATGGTTCCATAATTTGGTTTTGAATAAATGCCTATATGAGGGCTTCTTATGCTACCAATTTCTCTTTTTAGAAATACTTTTTGTTGGACTGGGGTTGTGGCTTAGTGGTAAGTGCTTGCCTTGAACATGTGAGGCACTGGTTCGATCCTCAGCACTACATATATAAAAATAAAGATATAAAAAAAAGAAATACTTTTTGTATGTCACTAAATTAGAGATTTTTTCACATGTTTATAAGCTTTAAATAAAGGAAGCTAGTCTATTATCATATAAATGTTATTTCTTGGCTGGCAAATCAATATAAGCATGTTATGAACTAATGTATCAAGGCAGCAATTCTCAATTATTACCACCTGGGTTCATGTCGATCACAAGTGGGAAAAAAGACTGAAAATCAGGAAAAACTTATTTAAAAAAATAAAATATATATTACATGAAAAAGGAATGAAGTATCTACAAAGAAAAATAACACTTTTTAAAATTTATATCTAAGGAGAAATGAATAAGTCTACAAAACAGTGGTAATTTTAAACTGTAATAATATTCAAGTCTAAGTGTAAAAAGGAGAAAAGTTTAAAAAAGAAGAAACTTAATGACTACAGCAAAGAAGAAATCCCCCACTCTTAATAAAGACAATAATTTTGGCTGAGAAGTCAAGATTATCTGTTAGAATTAGAAGGACGACTAAGTTATAGAAGTAGAGCTTCACTGTTCTCAAGAAAAATCAGCAAATTAAAAAAACAAATAAAAGTTGAGAACAGTAGAATAGAAGAAGAGGATGGGGAGGGAGGAGAGGGAAAGGGGAGGTACTGGGGAATGAAACTGATCAAATTATACTGTGCACGTATGAATATAACAAATTCCACTGTTACGTATAATTATAATGCATCAGTAAAAGGAAAAAAGAAAAGAAAATATAGCAATGAAGCAAAGTTAAGTTTTATCAATTCCTATCTACCATCTATTTTGAATTGAGAGAGTCCAAGTTACTGAGTGTGGATGAAAACCATATTCTATATTACATAGTATAACATACATGGTCTTACTTAGTAAGGTAATGATTTCATGGTAAGAAAAAAATATGCTTTCACATTGATAACTGTTCAAAATTAAAATTTTATTAATCGCCATGAGTGTATCTTCACAGCAATTTAAAAATAATATATCTTTTTTTAAAGAGAGAGAGAGAGAATCTTTTTTTTTTTTTTTGTAGATGGATACAACACAATGCCTTTATTTTTAATTTTTATGTGGTGCTGAGAATCGAACTGGGGTCCCGCCCGTGCTAGGGGAGTGCTCTACCACTGAGCCACAATCCTGGCCCCATAAATAATATATCTTTGATAAATTATTTTTTTTCAAAAGAGCATTTCTCCCATGCACATTTTTTATTTATACTTTTTAAAAGTTTTTTAACCACAGAAAAAATAGTCCAAAAAAAAAGAACAACTCAAGGCAATTCTTATTCCACCTGACTTTTGCAAGGTTTTTGAACAAATTATTTTTATTATTTAATGGCTTTTATTGTCTAAACACATAGAGAACAGTGACATAATAAAAAAATTACTATAATAATGAGATTCTATTTTAAATTATCTATCTAAATCATCCAATATAGTTGTTTCCACCTAAGACAAACCATCCAAAAAATCCTACTTAAAAAATTAATATTCCTGGGCTGGGGTTGTGGCTCAGTGGTAGAGTGCTCGCCTAGCATGCACGAGGCACTGGGTTCGATCCTCAGCAACACTTAAATATTGTGTCCACCTAAAGCTTAAGAATAAATATTTTTTAAAAATTAATCTTCCATAAGTAAGTCCTATAGAAAAATGAACATTTTCTTTAGATGAAAGAGATAAAGATGTAAGAGATATATTTAAAACTCCCCCCTCCCCCACCTCCCAAAACACTTACGGTTTTTTATCTCCACTACTGGGGAGAAAGGCTTTGGCAAGATTTTTTTTGGCTTCTTCCATCATATGCCGTCTTCTCACTTGATTTAGATTTACATAGCCTTCGCCTTCAAAAATCCTTGCAAATTGGGGATCAAAATAACCTGCCTGGAGATTTGACATTTCTTTGGTTCCCCCAGGTAGAATCTGTCTATTTTTGCTTGCAGCCTCATTAAAGGGTCCTTTAAAAATAAATTAGCCATACTATAAATTTGAGCTGTCTAGTAATTAAGGACATGGAGAAAACAGAAAAGCTTCCAAATGTGATTTGTGCCAATTCTGGGTTTGAGCTCTAAAATAAATGTTGTTTAAAATGTTAACTGAAAGCTCTGTGTTAATGGCTAACATTAAGACCTGAGAGGATTCCATTAAAATGTTGAACATGATCCTTGTGATACACTGTGAATTCTGGAACTGGAAGAGACTTAATAGTTATTTTACCCAATGTTCCTCTGGCTACATACTAGGAAACTGTTTGTGTGCTTGTATGTAATGTCAATAAGAGCATGTGTGGAGGTTGAAGAGAAGGCTGGTACGTATTCATACTGAACAATTCTCCTCCTGGATATATGCTCAAGACAATGAGAGCTAATGTCCTCTAAAAAATATGAACAAAAATGTTCACAGTAGTTTCATTCTTAATAATTAAACACAAGAAACAACTCAAATGTCTACCTATTGAACAGATTTTTGTGGCATTTCACATCAATGTTTATAGCAGCACAATTCATAATAGCTAGACTATGGAACCAACCTAGGAGCCCTTCAACAGATGAACAGAGTATTACTCAGTCATGAAAAAAGAATGAATTTACCTCAGTTGCTGGTAAATGAATGGAACTGGAGACTATAATGCAAGTGAAATAAGCCAAACACAGAAAGTCAAAGGTCAAATGCTGTCTCTGATATGAAGAAGCTATTCTAAAATAAGGGTAAAAGGAGGAGGGAGGGAGGGGGAGAGAGAGAAAGAGAGAAAAGAAATGGTAGGAATTTCATCAAAATAAAAGATCAGGGAAGATGAAGAAGGGGAATGATGAGTAGGGAGAGAATAAGGGAAAAACAGTGGAATGAATATGACCTAACTTTTTAATGTGAATATATGAAAACTACAGTGAATTTCACCACTATGTATATCCACAAAACATTAATATTTTTAAAAACACAAATAGATGAGTAGAGTAGAAGAAAGGGAACAGGGGGAGAGGGAGGGAGGAGGGGAGGGTAAGGGTAAGTACTGGGAACTGAATTGAAGCAATTTATAGTCCACCCATTTACAATTATGTCAAAAGGAATCTTGACATTATGTGTAACTATTATGAGTCAATTAAAAAATTGTAGCATTTCTACAATTGAAATACTAGCACAAATTTTTTGAAGGCTGCATTTGCAAATATTTAGATCTTTAATAATTTGGTCATAAGAGGGCTTAATTTAGGAAGTCTTTCCAAAATATGAAGAACTTGAAGTGCATACAACTCTTATTTCAAGTTGAAATATAAATATAAATAAAATTTATATTTTATTGAAATATAAATTTTCATCACTGATTTTTTAATTTAAATTTTGAAAAGGTAACATTTTCAAATAGTTTCAAATTTGATAGAATAAACAGCCTCACAATAAATTTTCTTCCTGTACTTGTCCATGAAGTTCCTCTCCAATGGAACAGGCAGTGATATTAATTTTGTCTTCCAGAGAATGTCCAGTCATGTTTGAGTGAATAGTCTCATTTTAACATTTAACATAATAAATACACTGTTTTCAATCTTGTTTTTTTATTTAACAATTATTGTTGAGATGGCTACATATCTGTGCATTCTTTTTTGTCACACAGATGTTCCATTTGGACATCCAAATGTTTAAATGAGATATTAAAAGTGTATATTTATTTTAAGTCTTTCTATTATGATTTTCCTAAAAATCCCCTCAGCTATTCATACAGCATTTCACATTCCAGGAAAGTGATAATGGATAGCCTTCTTAGATGCACACTTAGAAAGAAGTAAAATCACCTATGAGGACAATAAATGAGGACAAGGTAGCCCAATAAAATGAGCTTCCCATTCTTATAAATTAAGTTCTCTCCTAACTATTGCAATGTCGCAAGTTAGTCAACTTTAGAGCTCAATACTTTAAAATATAGACCATTAAAATATCATTTTTAAGTTAAATTAAATATTTAATTTAAAAATTTAGGTAATGATCACTAATTTGCCCATAAAGAGTATCCAATACACTTACGATTAAATGGTGACACATATTTATCACCAACAGTAATATATTCCATCTCACTGAAGAGGCCAATCCTCTCCATATCTGTTTTTCCTCCTTCTATAGGCATGGTTGCTTCTTATGGTGGTAACATCAAAAGTTTCTTTCTTGTTGCTTCGTTTATAGCAAAAGCTTACTTTTACATTGAGAAAAGAGGGAGAGTAGCCAAAAAGCAATTATTAAATTTCAATCCACATTATTTTCAGTGTAAGAGTTTTAATATTCTCTATAAAACAACAGTCTCAAACTAAGTAGAGAGAAATCAACTCTGTGGAATACTAGAACACTGAGATTTAAAATTGTCTCTTGACTCTTCATGTAAAGTGCCCATAATTCCAAAGGAATGTGTGTGATATCATCTGCCATTTCTCTGTTGGAAATGATAAAATTATTACCATAAAGTGTACTATAAATAGGTATAAACAATCTCCTTCATTTGAGAAGTTCAATGTAGATTCAAAATCATAATTATATAAGGTAAACATTTTGTAGTTTAAATGAGATCAAGGCACATTCAGAGTGGTATGATCCCAGACTACACATTTGATAGTTTACATAAAATGTTCCCCATATTGAAAATTATAACAGTTTTTCAGAATGCATACTGCATATACGTCTTGCCCTGCTGACCGTGGGTTTTTTTCAAGTTCAAATTAGTATAAGAAATGTGCTACTCATAAAATTAGTTCCTAAAGAGAATGAGGGAGAGGACAATTGTTTAAGGCAAGATGAAAACACAAACAAAACAAAAAAATCCACAGTGAATTCTGAAGATTTGTTAAAAGGCAGACTGCAACTTTTTAAAATAATCACTTCAAACAAAGGAGAAATGTCACATTAAACATGTAAGTATTAACTCAAAAAAAAAAAAAAAAAAACCAAAGATCTAAAGAATACTTGCTTCCATTCATCTGTTATGGCTTGGATATGAAGTGTCCCCCCAAAGCTCCTGTGTTAATGAAGGAATGTTCAGAGGTTAGATGATTGGATTATGGTGGCTGTAACCTAATCAGTTCATCCTAGTTGGAATGTACTGGGTGGTAAATGTAGAGTGGGGCCATGGCTGGAGGAGATGGGTCACTGGGTGTGTGCCATGAAAGGGTTCATCTTCCTTGTGGCATCTTTCCCCCTCTACGCTTCCTGACCCCACTATATAACTGAGCAGCTTCCCCACAAGTCCCAAATAATCTTGTTCTCTAACAAACATTTCCTCCTCTAAGTTGTTTTTGTCAGGTATTATCACAGCGAAGCAAAGCTGATTAAAACATTACTCTAATGTTTTTGAGCTATTTATTTATTCATTTTTCTTGGTGCTAGGGATCAAACCCAGGGCCTTTCACATGTTAAGCAAGCACTCTACCACTGAGCTACATTCCCAATTTTTCTATGGAAAGTCTTTTTCCAGGGGTGGTATTGGGGAGAGAACTTAGGGCTTTTGTGAATTCCGGGCAAGTGTCTCCCATGAGCTACATTCCCAGCCCCTACATCTTTATGTATTTAAGCAACTATTAGGAAGTAGGCACTGGGCATACATTAGTGGGGGGAAAAAAACTTTGGTTTATGCTTCTTGATTTATAATCCAAGGTAAGAGTCTTTTATCTTTAATTTAAAGCAAGCTGTTTCAATGACTCAGCAAGCTTCCCTATTTGGAACTGTGCTTATCTGTGTATGAGTCATTACTTAACTTGTAACATCAAAGGCCTAAGTGAAGATTCAGCCTAAAAATACAGCTTGAGAAAATACAACACACTTTCCCTATCCCACCTCTTCTTCTGATCAGGTATGCCTGGAGACTACACATCAGTCATTAGGGGTGTACTATATGGTTTACAGTTTATTTCAAGCTCCACCCCAACTGCCCAACTAACTAGTATCCTGTGCTGCTACAGGGGTTCAAATCCTTAATGTGGCCCACCAGGTCCATTATCGGCCAGCCTCATTAGTCACCACCGGAACCTACTCCCTGGATACTTGGCTGCACTTGTCTAATTTTCAGGTTGGGCTTTCTCGCCCGCAGTCGCCAGTGCATGTTTCATTTTGGTATGTCAACCCCTTTCTTTCTGTCACCCCAATAAAACACTGATCTTCCTATTGCTCAGTTTGTTCATCATTTCTCTAATACCCCTCATCATAGCTGCATGTATATCTCCTTCCACACCTTCATCATGTTATCTAATAGGTCAACATTTTATATTTTTGGTGTAGGAATTCTTTGTTTTCCCCATTTTGTTTCAACTAAAATGCTGACTCCACAAAGGCAGGAACTGTGATATGAGTTTGGTTCATCTTCACCAATTTTTTTGAGAAGGGAGTCCTCCTTTGTTGCCAGGGCTGGATTCAAAACTCTTAGACTCAAGGAATCCTCCTGCCTCAGCCTTCCAGTAGCTGGTATTGCAGGTGCACGCTACCTCCAATGGCTAATTTGGTTCATTATTGTGCTATTATTCCCAGTACACAGCATCTGGCACCCAGTCAAGTGAGCCACAGAGCAAGGGAAGGAGAAAAGTTCTTGCCCTTAACTTTCTCACTACTTAACTCTTCTTGAGCTACAGTTACAAAATCATTCATTCATTCATTTAACAAATACTTGGCAAATCCCTCCTCCGGGGTAAGGCTCCCAGGTAATAGCGAGGAAAACTGAGACCTAAAAAAGGAATAGATCCTACCCCCCCCCCCCCCCCCCCCCCGGGAGCTGACAATCTGCTAAGGAAGAAAATAAGTATAAGGCAAGTGGAATGCGGCGGGTTCTCTTCAAAAGGCATGGACAAAGTGCATAGCGGGATGAAGAAGGAGCAGAAAACTTCTGGCTGAGGCGATGACGAAATTATTTCCCATTAGGAATAAGAAGGCTTGGAGTAGACAGGTATCTAGGGGACAACACCTGGTGTCTGCGAGGAACAAGTCGCTTCTCCGAAGGGCACCTGATCCGACAACCAAGATCAGATCGTCCCAGCTCCGGTCCGGATTTACTGCGCTGCAGGAGCAACTAGGCTCCGCGTCGCCCTCCCGCGCGCTAGGGATTCCCGCCGGGCGCGCAGGCTGCGAAAACACTCCGCACGTTCGGTGCACCGCTGGGGCTTATTGTGCTGCGTTGCCCCGGGTACGGGAGAAACTATTCCAAGTAGGCTAAGGGAGGACACGAGGAGAGTTCCAATCAGCATAGGAAAACACACGGGACGACTTGTGAGGGTCTATAGGATACAAAAGACTCAATCAATCCAATATATCGAAAAAAGTCTTTCGTTTCCCATCCTTCTAGCCATCGGCGAGGAGATGTAAAGTGGTACGTTCTGTGACGTATTGCTACCGGGCATGCTGGGAATTGTAGTCCCCCGCCCAAGCCCTACCCTTTGGCTGGCGGTGACGCCACTTCCCGGGCGGCCCCAGATCCTCTAGGCAGAAGTAGACGTCCTTGTCACCCCCACGTCGTGGAAATGGTAAGCGCTTCTGTTCGTCACCGACCCCTGCGTTTCCCCTCGGACCTGGGCAGCCGGCGCAAGTACGGGTCCGAGCCCCTGAAGGGAGGCGGGCTCCCCGGCCCACGAAGGTCGCTGCAAACTACGTTGTCTGGAGTCTGCAGCCTTGGCCTCTTTCCCAGCTGCAGCCAGAGGGAATCTGTCCTCTCCTCCTTGTGATTTTTTTTTTTTTTTTTTTTAGAATGAGGCATTATTCGTCGTATTTGAAGGCTATTATTAAGAAAGAGGATTTTGAACTAGGAAAGAGGAATAGCTGTTCAAATAAATACTCTGTTCCCTTAGCTTCGGTGTTGCACTCTCCTGGTTTCCCTCCTGTCTCATAGTTCAGCCAGGTCCTCCAATCCCTATCCTAGATTAACAGGAACACTTTACATCCTATGCTTTCTCCCAATTTTGTATCTCCCGCTTAGTCCTTTCTTCTGAGCTCCAGATTCATAAATCTGCTAACTGTGCCTCCACTTGGATTGCTCATATATATTTGAAACCCTGCAGGTTCAAAATTGACTCATCATTTTCACCTTCCTCACTCCACATCTGCTCTTACTCCAGGAATTTCCATCTCTGCACAGGACACCACAATCCACCTGCCAGCCAAAAACTTGGAAATCACCCTTAACACCTTCCTTTTCTCAAATGAATGTCCAATCCGTAACCAAGTCCTATAGATTCTACTTCTAATTGCCTGTCCATTGTCACTCTCTCCACTGTTGCCATCCTTGTCCGTGCTACTGTTAGTTCTAACCATCTAGGGTAGTCTCCTAAGTGGTCTTTTAAGCAGGCCTTCGTGAGTCCATGCCCTTGTTGGAATGGGCTCTTCTATCTCCAACCCCACTCTGTTCCTCTGGAAGTGTTAATACTTCTGCTACTCCTACCTACTCAACTGTCACATCTTAGCTTAAATATTATTTCTTCAGAGAGGATCTTGATTCAGAAGTCCAGGGAGACTCCCCTGTTTTCACATATAAAATGTTCATGACAACCCTTCTTTTCCCAGTTTTACAGAAGAGAAATAGATTTGAGCAATTAAACTGGGCAAAATCATGCAGTAAGTAGCAGAATTAAAATCTGCTCTTGCCTGTCTTTTTAGCTTTTACCTTCTTTTTAAAAATATTTTTTACTCAAATGTCCATATACTGTTTGTATGGTAGTATTGATCTTTATATAACCAGCTTCTTACTGAGAGCTACTTCAGTGGTTTCTTCCCCCCACCACCACCACCTTTCTCCTCCTCCTCCTCCTCCTCCCCCTCCTCCCCCTCCTCCCCCTCCTCCCCCTCCTCCCCCTCCTCCTCCTCCTCCCCTCCTCCTCCTCCTCCCCCTCCCCCTCCTCCTCCTCCCCCTCCTCCTCCTCCCCCTCCTCCCCCTCCCCCTCCTCCTCCTCCTCCCCCTCCTCCTCCTCCTCCTTCCCCTCCTCCTCCTCCTCCTCCTTCCCCTCCTCCTCCTCCCCCTCCTCCCCCTCCCCCTCCTCCTCCTCCTCCTCCCCCTCCTCCCCCTCCTCCCCCTCCCCCTCTTCCTCCTCCCCCTCCTCCCCCTCCTCCTCCTCCCCCTCCTCCCCCTCCTCCTCCTCCCCTCCTCCTCCTCCTCCTCCCCTCCTCCTCCTCCCCCCCACCAATAAGATCAATGGACAATAGTGAAGCTGAATATGTCCTGAACTTTCTTGATTATTTCCTTAGAATAAATTCCCAGAAGCAGAATTGGGACAAAGGGTGGGATCTTTCAACAGGTTACAATTTTTAGAATAAATAAAAGCAGTTACTCTTAAAGAAACACAACAAGATATTTGTGAAATGAGAAAAAGTTTAATGGTACCTACTTTATGTTCTGAGGATCGATGTCCATAGTGGATGTCAGTATCTATTTAATTCCAAATACGGTTCTCACTGTCCAGTATGATTTTTCAGCCTGATTAAGACATATTTTGAGAATATGACAAAATCTTTGAAACCTCTCCTCAAAAGCAAGCTCTCCCTCTTCCCACTCCCTACTTTTGCTGGTGTCTTTTGGTCACTTTCTCATACACAGTGATAAAGTTTGTTTGTCATATATCATCATTGACTACCTGGAACTTGGCATATGGACTCCAGTTAAGAACCGTTGATCATTTCCATTTTGCAAGTTCTCCCTCTGCATGTTCCACATTGCAAGTGTTATCCTATGCCATTTAAATTCTATTTTAAGTGGTTTTTATAGTTGTACGATATTCATAATTATTTAACCAATCTTCTGTTGATGGTAATTAGGTTAAAATACCCTAATTTTTCTGTGTTTTGCAGATTTTCTTAGAGTAAATTTCTATCTGCAGAACTACTAGCCCAAAGACGAGACTATAAAAGGCTTAGATTCTTTTTTTAAGTGTATTTTTTTTAGTTGTAGATAAACACAATATCTTGTGTAGTGCTGAGGATTGAACTCAGTGCCTCACACATGCTAGGTGAATGCTCTGCCACTGAGCCACAACCCCAGCCCAAAAAGCTTTGATTCTTATTGCCACCTTCCAAGAAGAGTCTCCAGTTTATACTGACACCATCAATGATTTGTTAGTTTCCTCTCATTGTCTTGTTCACCAGGTGTCATCAGATTCTGTTCAGTGTTCTTAATTCTATTCTTAAACTGGTTCTTTACCATTTATGTTTTCATGTCGTTGTTAAATCCCTCAAGACTATACCTTAGAAATATCATCTTAAAACTGTAGTTCTCAACCTTTTTTTGCACATTAGAATCACGGGCATGGGGGCAGAGGAAGCTTTTAAATATCCTTTTGCCTAGGTCTAACTTAGACCAATTGATCATAATTTCTGAGGGTGCAACCTAAGTATCAAAATTTTAAATTCCCCAGGTGATTTCAGTATGGAAGGTAAAAACCCTTGATTTAAAATTTAGGGATATTATGATTTGGATATTAGGTATTGAATGTGCTCCTGATCGATGGTCATTTGGGTACTTTGTCATGGGGGTGGGGCGGGGGAGGTGGAGACTCAGAATCAACACACAGACTCTGGAAGCTGGTGAGAGAACTGGCTGGAGACCCGCCTCAAGTCTTTGTCCAGTAGCTCAGTTTATTTTTGGAATGCACACAATGGTTATAGGGTTTGAGTGGGGCGTGCCTGTCAATCATACATAAGCAAGACAATATCCATAAGCCAATCATCTTCTGCCTAATGTAACCGCACTGTGAGGAAACTCTAAATATTGCTGTCGTGGCAGAAAGCAGGAAGGGTCTTTAACCCTTACTGAGTCAGGGGTTCCATGCCCTGAAGCCCCTGACTCTCAGTTTCTTGGCTGGGCAGTTTGGCAATGCTAACCACAAGTGCTGAGGATGTGGTTTCACCCCATCCTGCAGGCGCTCCTGTCAGCCTGAAGGAAGGTGGATATTTCAGGCACTTCCGAGCTGCTAGTAGCTGCTAGCTGAGACTGAAACTTATTCCAACAAGGTATCCCCCCAAAAGCTCATGTTAGGCAAGATAGGAATGTTCAAAGGTGAAAAGAGTTGATTAATGAGAGTTGTAACTTAATGGGTGGATTAACCCCCTTGGTAGTTTAATAATTTGGATATATTCCTGGGTGGTATCCATAGGCAGGTGGGACATGGCTGGAGGAAGTAGATTATGTTTTGTCATTAGCATCTTAAGTGCACATGTGCTGTCTCTCCTTCCTGGCTGCCATGAGCTGAGCAGCTTTCCTCTGCAAAACTCTTTTCCCGTGATATTTTGCCTCATCTCGGGCCAAGAGCAATGGAGTCTACTGACCAACCAGAAACTGAACATCTGAAACCCTGACCCCAAAATAAACTTTTCCTCCTCTAAGTTGTTTTTGTCAGGTATTTTGGTCACAGCTATGAAAAGCTGATTAAACACAAGGCATTGCATTCTATTTTTCTCCATAAAACAAGGAACTAATTCAAGAAATAATCCAAAGATTCAAGCTTAATTAATGCCTTACTCTAAAGTCTAATAGATTCTAATTTATTTGAGGATGGGTATGTTTTGCTTTAAAAGGGAATTTTTGTTTTATTCTAGGTAATTTCAGAAACTATGGATATACTCTTCAGAATAAGAGGAGGCCTTGATCTGGCTTTCCAGCTACCAACTGCTAATGGTAGGTGTTGAGAAAACTTCTACCTTTCTATCATAAAATTAATGATAAAATATACTGAGATTCCATTTGGCAGATGAAAACAAGTGAAAGACAGGTTAAATGAACTAAGGTTATATATTTAGTAAGTGAATTAAATAGTATTTAAACTTAAACATGGTTATAGCACCTTTACCAGTCCATGGGTACCTCTGTGGCAATTAAAAAAAAAAAAAAAGTCCCCTCCTTCCCTTAGGGAATTTTTCTGCCTCTTGCAGAAAATTACTACAATAAACATAAGTATTGCCAATGAGCATAATGTACATAATACATCCAGAGCCTAATGTAAATAATAAATCTAATACATTTGTACATTTTAGACTTGCAGCTGTACATAACCCCACATCTCCAGAACCTACTTTTAAAAATACTATTATAATAGTTTAAGAAAGTCCACAGGAGAAAAATCAATGGGATTTGTATAAAACACGTTCTAGGATGTCATCCTGCTTCTGACTTGGACTACTGCCATAAACAAAGATAAAGAGTACCAGAGGAGGAATGTGATGAATTGTGTTTGAGAATTTCAAGATGCCTATGGGACATTAAGTGCAGATTCCCAACAGACATTT